TCTCTCTCTCTCTCTCTCTCTCTCTCTCTCTCTCTCTCTCTCTCTCTCTCTCTCTCTCTCTCTCTGTCCTGTGAGGCCACATTGAGGAGTTGGCCATCTATGAATCAGGCCCTCACCAGAACCCAACTCTGCCAGATGATGGGTGGGGCTTGGGGGTTGAGACTAAACCGGAAACCAAGCAGCACAGAGCTGCCTCTGCCCCCTTCAACAGCTCCTGTAACACTGAACTGTGGCAGAGGAGCATAATAAAGAAGGTGATCTTTTCAAAAAAGGGAAGGTTTCCAGGCAGAGAGCCACAGGAGCAAAGGTCCTAGAAGAAACCACAAGGCTGAGCCAGAGGGCGCCAGGCTGAGAGCAGCTGGGCCAGATGGTGTGAGGCCCCATGGCCACTGTGACAATAATGACAGAGCTTACATTTATTTGGTTCTTACCACAAACCACGATTTACTCAAGCACTTTCCTGTGTTAATGCGCTTAACACAATTATCCTATTAGATGGGTGCTTCTGGCATTTAATGCAGACAGAAATGAAGCAGAAAGGTGGCAGGACTTGCTGAAAGTCACACTCCAAGTAGGACAGATGGGCATGGGAGGGCTTTGAGAAGAACTGACGAGCCCTGACTTACGTGGAAAATGGCTCACCCTGGCTGGCGTGTTGAGAAGAGACTGTCAGGCAGAGGTGGGGGAGTCCATTAAGAGCTACTGCCACACATGGTGAGAGGACCAGAGAAGATCTAGTGGATGGAGGTGAGTAGAGTCCATAGAATGTGTCCCCAAATGTCACCCCTCCTTTTGTTTTTGAGACAGAGTCTTTCGATGTAGTTCAGACTGGTCTAGAACTCACCATTTTTTTGTTTTTGTTTGTTTGTTTTTGAGACACGGTCTCACTGTGCAATTCAGGCTAGCCCTGGAACTATGCAGCATAAGCCCTGCCTGTTCTCAAATTTGCAGTGCTCCTCCTGCCCCAGCCTGCCTAGTGCTGAGATTACAGGCATGCACCACCACGCCCAGCTCCCCTTCCTTCTGAAGTTCAGCATAAGAAGCAGCAGGCAGAGATGGATGTTCAGGGCAGCCTGTGCTCCCCGCCAGCCAGACTTTCGAAGGCCCAGGGGCTTTGGGGACTGTGGAGGGCACATACATCACGTGTGCCACACTGTAGCCCTGCTCCAGCTGTTCTCAGCTTGGTGGGGTGGGGATGAAGGGAGTGGAGCTGGCACAGACTTGAAGAGGGCAAGTCCCCTGCTGGCATTGATGAGTGCCACCCAGCACAGGCTCGTCTGGCGAGCACACTTTTAAGGCCCAAAGGGCTGGCTTTCTTTTATTCTTTTTTTTTTTGGTACCAGAGATCAAACCCGGGTCCTTACGCTTTCAAGGCACGCGGTGGAACCACTGGGCTAAATCCCCGGCCCAGGGCTGGCTTTCTTATACACCTGCCTCAGTGGAGGCTGCTACTCCAGCAAAGATTCTCTGCTTCTTCTCAGCAGGTAGGGCCCAGACTCTATCAGCAGGACTGCAAGGCTGGGTAACCTCCTGTGGGCCCCACAGAGTTGGCCTGGCTGTGCAAGGTCCAGTGACAGTCACCACTGATCTAGCCATTCTCATGCAGTGGCTCTGTACTAAGACCCCTGAGGGTACTGGAGCATTTAATCCGTGGACAATCCTGCGGGTGGTATTTATTCCTTTCACTCCCAAATCACAGGTGAGGAACTGAGGCTAGAGTGAAATAACACGTGCAAAGCCCCACACCTGGGGGGGGGGAGGAGGAGGAGGAAGAGGAGGAGGAGGAGGAGGAGGAGCTGAGGTTAGAACCCGAGGCCCACAGTCCCTCCTACTCCTCACACTCACAACTCGCGGCCTGCACACACAGGGCCCAGAGGCCCCGGGGAGCACGGGGTACCCCGGAGAGGCCCAGGGGTAGCGTTTCACCACTTCCCGGCAATGGCAGCAAGTGGCCTCATCTTGGTCTCAGCTGCTCCTGCGCAGCCTGGGCTAAGAGTAATAGGGGCACCTCACAGGGTCAGGGAGCACAGAGACTTAGAGCATCGTGGTAAAGAGGCGCTGTTTCATTATTGTGATGATGATCACTCCTGACTGCTAGGTCCAGTGTCCGCTGCAGCCTCCCCTGACCTCCTTCCCATCTGTGCCACATAGTTCCCCCTGGAGGGAACGCTTGGCCGCAGCCCAGGGACTCAGCTCCTATCCCCTGTCCGAAGCCCCTGTCCCCATGGCCAACGTCAGTCCTGGGAGAAGCTCTGTGTCTGGCCCTAGCCTTTAGCACCCTCCCTATCTCCCTGTACTTGTGGGGAAGCCCAGGGTATGTGCCACAAAGGGTCTGTGTCAGCCCTGGCTGCCTCCTCCTGTCTGGTCTTTCAGGACACTATTTTCACCTTTAGATTAAGGAGCATTTAGAGAAGGTGGCAAGACACTCCGTTTGCTAAGCATCTCATTGACATTACCTTATTTAGGTTTCTCACAACTCTAACAGATGGAGGTGGAATTTTTTTCTATTTCACTGGTGAGGAAACTGAGGCACAGAGAGATTAAGCAACTAGCAAGTAGCACACTTGGAACTGAGCTACCTCTGCTGACAAAGCTCCAGCCTCAACTGCTCATGCTCTGTGCTGTTCTGGCCTCCTCATCACTTAAGACCGGCAGCTGTTGGTCTCCCTAGCATGGATCTCTACAAGGGAACCCCCAGCTCCTGGTCAGCACAGGCCAGAGAGCATTAAGGAACCACCTGGCACAGGCAGACACCATGCTGGACCCTGT